AAAAAAAGCCGGGTTCCCTTCCACTACATACCACAGACACTCAGCATTAGCCAGCTATAATATCCTCCACTATATGCCGAAAAAATTATACATAGCAATTAGACATTAAGTATCTTGTTTGTGATTGAGGGTGGGATGTGGGTGTTAATTCTCTTCACACCCACACCTACGTCCACATCCACACCCAGGCCCACACCCCACACCCACACCTACACTCACACCCTTATTATTATTATCTGTAATAGAAAAAAATAAACTATGCTCAAACCATATCATTACAAATGATATTTTATACATTTTTTAATCCTCATTTTATTCTCTTTTTTTTTCATTCTTCCTAACGAACTCTACATCTTCGTAAATCTAATAATAATTTAAATAGAAAAGGCTAGCAAGGATGTTGGTATGCGGGTGTGTGGATGTGGGTGGGAATGTATTTCTACCTGATTCCACCCATCCGCACCCCACATTCACACCCACACTCTCGGTTTCTATTGAAGCATATGCATATACAAACGATAAAAGGATGTAACAAAATTCTGCTGTGCAAAGAAAATATTAGAAGGTATTTTGATTTCGATGGAAGAGTATGCGTGGACAATGAACCATAGAAAGAAACAAAATTCTATTGTGAAAACAATAGTCAGAGCATAATTTTAATTTCAAAATAGACTATAACAAATCGCACAGATGTACTATAATAGCATTCAGAATAGACAAGCAAAATTCTTGAGTTCTGCTTGTAACGAATTCTGCCACTGTTGTGTTCGATGTGAGTTCTGAAGAAAAAGATTGAAAAGAAAGAAAAAATAGAACGCATATGACTGAGTTTTTCTTTTTCTACCATAATCTCTTACGCTCTCTTTTAAAAAGCGACAACGTTGCCAACGCTTATTTATTTTGGTTGACTCGTAATGGAGTAAGTGAGTTTTACATGGTAAGAATGATAAATGCTTTATTTCTACATCTGTATCAACATAGTTTCAATATAAATATTAACTGAACTTGTATTAGCAACATTTTTATAGTAAGATTGTGGACGAGAACATAAAGATGCTCGATAAAAACACAGGCACATCCACAATCTAAGTATGTATTTCTTTTTCTGTATTTCTATTTTGCTCGCTGGTTCACTATTATTATATGTATATTAGGTAGAAATACGTTCGTACATTTATATTTAGACACTGTTCAACAAAAAAGGATGACAAATAAAAAGAATCGTCTTTTATCATTAATTCTCGAACATTTTATGTTTTCATTCGGTGCGAATGACGATAGAAACAACGAAGAAACTTTGATAGATGAAAGTTTTACTGAATATACAAATTTATCTTTAGGTCAATATATACGTTCTGGTAGTAATGCTGAAAAACTTTATTTGCCATTTCCAAATCATGTTACATCGGATATTGATTTAATGTTCGAATTTCCACATATATATATGTGTTGCTGATTCCGAACAATTGATACCGAGCGAACGTCAAAAATATGACATTGATAAGAAAATGAGATTTTTATATATTGATTATAGTAACAAAAAATATCCATGCTATGTGACACTTTATTACTACTCAGTGGAAGACTTGATTGTATCAAATGAATAAAATCGATTCATCTTTTCTAATTCCTGGTACAAATAAATATATTGAAGCTGGTGAATTTATTGATCCATATCGAAAATATTTTGCACCATTGAATCTTGTACATTGGATGAAAAATATGTGGCCTATAAATAAAAATGATAATGAACTATTGGAAATTCATGGTCCATCAATATGTATAACGTCAAAAAATCCAAATTGCCTTTTACCAATGGATCATATCGTATCATTAAAATTTATCCATTTGTCTAAGGTAGCTCGAAATTGGATCGATCGTACACGAAAAACGAATTGACCAACAAAAAATTTTATTGATCGGATGGTTAGATTTCGTTGTCATCTAGTAGCAATACCACATGTATCGTCAACTAGCGAAACTCAATTCATCGAATGACGATTATCATTTTCAGTATGTGAAGTATTATTAGCTAAAACACTTAGGTATTATCAAAGAACATGTTATTTGATTATTAAAGCTCTATTTGATGTGCATGTTAAACAAGATTTAGAATTATCAAAATTAATATGTAGTTATTATTTAAAAACAATTTTATTTTGGTTATGTGAATCAATAGATAAAGAACAATGGACATATGAAACATTGTATGATCGTTTTATACATTTTATTGATTATATCATTGTATGTTTAGAGCCAAAAATGTTTAAAACATTATTTTATACCTGAAATGATTCTTATTCATCATTTTAATGATGAACAATTAAAAAAAATAATTGAAAAATGTATTTTAATAAAAAATATTTTATTAAAAATGATTGAAAAATGCGAAGAATACTATTGGAATACAAATCAATTTAAGCGTTTCAATTCGATTATTGAAGTTTTAACAAATAATAAAGATTTCAATGATAATTCATGTATAATATGATTTTATGGACATACAATGCATGCTTTTATTGAAGAACATCAATTGACTCATCTTCCATTGAGAATGGTCAATGATTGTATAAAACGTAATTATTTAAAATGTTGTTCCGATGAATCAGCTAAATATGTATTGCATGTTACAAATTTAATAGCAAATATATTGCATAATACTAATGTGTATTCAATAGAAAATTTATCAGTACATAATGCAATGATGTAAATATGTGAGATCAAATCGTTCTATGATCAAATTTATGAAGATATACAAGCAAATTATCTCGAGATATTAGATCATTTGAATAAAGAAAATAATTAGTTTTCGATATTTTAATTGAAAACGACATGGATGTGTGGGTATGATTATATTATACTATTGCATTCACATCACACCCATTTCAAAATTAAAATTAATTGAAAGCTTAGCGAAATTCAAAATATTTTCTCCAAGCAACCGAGAAGAATAATTCATTCCTATTATTTGTTAGACTTCGTCACATTTCATAGTAGAAATAGCAGAATCATGAGCGCATCCCGATGCTGAGAGACGTAATATACTTCTATCGAAAACTGAGCTTATCTCAAATTGAAAATGCGGGTACGATTTCAAATTTCGGAACATAATACTAATAGTCGTTCTTATATAATGGACTGAACCAAAAATGACTAAATATTATTCATCGATTTAAGAAAATACAATTAGTTTATGATTGATAGCAATAAGATTAGACAATTTTATGTATCAATAGTACAATCTTGTCTTGAGAGTGTGAGGGTGGAGGTGAGAGTCTGCATGTAGATTTTATAGAATATCGCGTCCACACCTACCTACATCCATAGGATGTGGGTGTGCATGAGTGGGCATGGATTTGGATGTGAAAGGTATGGGTGTGAGTGTGAATGATGGAGTTATCTCAGCAAACACAGGCGCGCCTTATACCTACACTGACCTAAAATACAAACATTAGTTCGTTTCCTTTCTCGTATTGACAAAAGACGTTGCATGCAGAATAGTGTGGCAAGTTATGAAGTCCACATGAAATTTGTTAATCTAATTAATCTGATACAATAGTAAAAATCTTTTCGTTTATAATCTGTGAAAGGTATTTTTCACATGGATCATTTTGATAAGATGTTCGAAGATAATTCATTATTTGACGAAGTTCTTTCGAGGTTTGAATGTGTTCTTCTGTTGAATTAACATTTTGATCGAGCAACAAAGATAGACAAATGACTTATAGAGTGGTAAGGGGTGAAATGGCACACGAAATTGGAATTTTTTAGTATTTTGCTCATAACTTTTTTATTTTAAACGATAGAAAAAAACTTTTGGAAGAAAACACATGGCAAAAATATTTTCTCTCTTCAATGGTGTGTATAGTTTCTGAAAATCTTGTTCCATAAATTTTCCTCAACAGTTTTAATCGGACCTACTAGAAGCATTGCCAAATTATCCCCAATGGGGCTATTTGATAATTAATGTAATTATGCGGGGTAATTTGGCAATCTCAGCTATTTTTGTATACAATAAATAAAAACTATTTTCGAAAGCTATTTCATATCTGTTTTCGGTAAAAAAATATATTACTGAATAGCGGAAACATTTCTCTACAAGTGTATACAAATCTTAATTTTAAGTTTTCTACTCAACGAGAACTACATCATTTACAAAAAGACCACCAAAAAAAACACATATGTCAAATTATCCCACATGGGGTAAATTGGCAATCAATAGAAATATTGGGGATAATTTGGCAAACCCAGTCAATTTAGCTGAGAATCTTAAAACTTAAATTTTGCGAGAAATAAACATAATTTTCTACTACTTTTACTGATCAAAATATACCTCTCATCGAGTTACACACATCTATACATTTTCGCAAATTATTACTAGATTTGTATCTTTAATATTCAAACGATGAATAATAAAAAATACTAATCTTTCGAAATATTTCCATTTTTTTCAAACTTATTTGCGTAAGCAGCGGAATATTTTTAATTTTTTTTTAGGAAGAAGGGACTCAATATATTTTCTATTTTGAATAACAATCGATAGATGAGAGTACGAAGCAACCAAGTCGAAATTTCATCGCCATAGCTTACATCGAAAAGATTTTCTGCATCCATCCGTTTGCATGTCCGGAGATTAGGAAAAAAATGGAAACTTCCCTTTCCCCCATCAGATTAGAATGACGTGACCTTCTATCATGGCTTCGCACATCGTAATATTTTTCGTAGAAAGTTACTCTATCCATATAGGATGTTTCTCAAAAATTTTAGCTCAAAACTGGTCTTCTAATATAAGGTGGCGTTTTATTCTGAGGAATTAAGATACGAAATCATTTAAGTGGCTTCACAATTTGTACGAGACCTAAAATAGTTTTTGAAAATGTTGAGAAACCCGAAAGGCTTTTTAGAACGTTATGAAATGTAGAAAAGTTCCAATTTTTAAAACGAATTTTAAACTGCTTTAGGTTTCGTAGGAGAATTATGAAATCTTTGAAGACGCTTTTTCGGTCGTACAGTGTCAGTCTGAGGGCATCTTAGGTTTTTATGGAATCTTTTTTAGTATTTAGATTTTCGAGAAAAAAAAGGTTTGATGTGACATTTTATTGTTTTGTAGTGCATGAGCCCATTAGTAAAATACTGAATTTAATGGAAAAGTCATACCGTGGAGCTCTCTTATTTAGGAAATGGAAAAAAGAAAGCTGTATGGAATCTTTAAGGGTTTTGACTTTTTTCTAAAAGTCGAAAATGTTGAGGATTCCATACAGCACTTCTTTTCAGTGTAGAATAGTGAAAATTTCTATTATAGCAATAAAATCTGTATTCAGTTATCAATATAAGCATAGAAAAACCTAATCCTAGACTAAAGCGAATAAAAATGTCATGGATCTCAAAGACTATCATCAATGTCCAAAAAATACCTTTCGACCTACTTCTTTTTGAGAAAAAACTAGAAAAATGCTATTCAAATCTAACTGATTAAATTTTTTTTTATGAACGCGAAGAACTAACGGCATGATTACACTGTTGTCTTGTGATTGTTCATCGTGATTATCTCAAGCAGACAAACTTTTCAGAAAAAGCGCTTCAATGCACAGAAACTGGATGAAAGTTGGTAAAAATGGACATTTTTATCTCTCACTTGCGGTTCTTGAATGTAAGCCAGAGAGGATGTGGACAAACAGTTAAAACCTCCCACTCACACCCACCTACACCCTCATTTAATTTTTACAGGTACATGTTTCAATTGTCTATTTGAATATTTACAACCACAACGATTTATTTTAATCTGACACTATAGTAATAGATAGTTCCTAGTAGAACGCCTATTTTACAATGAATCGCATAATCAGATCTTATGGATTTATTTCAATTATATAATATTGATATATTCTAGAAATTTCAAGGGGAAAGAAAGCAATATAAGCATACAAATTTATATTACAAAAGGAAAACAATTCGAAAATAGTACACACATAGACAATATTAATATATTAATGCTTATGCGTCAGATCGAATGTCATATGATGGCATCGTTTTATTTCAATACGATAGATGATTAAATTTTAATTCTACACTAATAAATCAAAATGCGAAAAGTACCCTCTCTGATTTTGTCTTCATTATGGATATTGAAAATCAGTCTATGGAGTTCAGTGATGAAGGAGGTACTCAATTTTTCTCCTGTGAATCGACTTTTGTGCTACATTGCAATGAGAAAGATAAACAAGAATAATAGCATATATTCGATATAAAAAATATGTTACATCTGGAAGCACGTGAAATGAAGCATCAGGTGTGTCTAACTGCTTTTAATAAAGATAATGGTATAACTGAGCAAATCAAAGAACAATATCTACATGTACATTTCAGCAACAATGAACTTAATTTGATCAAACCAGAAACCAATCAATTTACAGAATACTACATAAAACTTTTAAACAAATTTTCTTCTTATTTCTTGTTGCAAATGTTGTTGGATGGTTCGAAAGAAGCAACAAAAAAATAGGTGAAAATCTTCGACAGAACATACATGTGAAGTGAAAACCCCACGAATTTACTTTTGATTGTGTGCTTTTTTTGTTCTCGAAATGTATAAAATAAACAAATAGACTCATCTGTCTAGAAAACAATAGAAAAAACAAGAAGATTATATTTTCGTCGGAACCAAGCCAGAGTGTTCTTCTAAACGATTATCGAGAATAGTTCTATTATCATTGTAGTATTACGAAAAAAGAATAAATTGTAAGTTGGAAAGTACGTGATGCTACTAACGTTCAATGGTAATTCTTAGGATTGAAGAAATTTTTTCGAGCCAATGAAATATATATCTCATCTTTCGTTTAGTGACAAAATTTATTCAAGAAGAAAACGGTTTTTCTTGATTTTGACTAAAACAATGTAAAGAAATTAAAAGTTATTCATTTTTCTCCACTTTGCATTATTTTTTCGAATAAAATCATCATAGGTTGGTGGTGGTAAATTATGTTGTTCTATTATAATTGTTGTCGAGTTTGATTGTACCAAAGCATCGTATGCCGGAGGTGCGTCTGGAATTAATTGTTCAATTTCATTTGTTGTAGCTACTCTAATATTGTAATTATTGCATTCTGGCGGTGGTTGTTCTGTTGAAACAATTGAATTTCTTGGTGTGGGTTCAATTAAATTTAAATTAGCAGTATTCATATTTTGTACGGTCGTCATTGAAGACATTAGGAAAGGTCTCGATTGGGTTGATTGTTGTAATGACATCATATTAAAATCGTTGTTAATTACAGGATGATTAGGCGAACATATTGCAACACAAGCACAAATAACTATAGAACACCAAAATGACACTACAACTACCATTAAGATCATTTCAGGGTATGGAATTTCACCAGAACCAGTGCAACAGTATGAATCTCTTTTATCTTGTGTTTTAGATGGATACCAATCGATAAATTTAGGTGCGTGATCCCAATTAACTTGATGTGATCTTTTATACATAGTAGATGTCGTGAACGTATAAGTGAGACGAGTTTCTTGTCGAATTTTAAAATGACGTTGTTTATAAAACGCACCTGGATGCAATACCGATGGTATAACTTTATCAGACAAAGAAGTCGGTAGAAACTTGGATCGATTCGTCGTTGTCATCAATAATTTTTGGCCAAAGTTATTTGAATAAGTATCGTCGGATTGAACGCATAGTAGTAATTCCACAAGAAGAAAGATAGAGTTTAAAGAATTTCTCATATTCAATGAATTCTAGGAGTATGATATCGAATATGAATGATGTAGTTTTATTGAAAAATGAGGATAAAAACGATGTCGTAGTACAATCTCAATCTCGCTGATATTATTATAGATGTGCTCTGTTTTTTTATTTTCTCACCAAAGAAAATGATTTCAATAACAAGAAGTATAATTTATGATGATATAACTAAAAGTAAAAAATAATTATTGTTCTATACTGATATAGCAAGAAGAAAAATCTTATTTTCTTCTTTCACCTGTTTTATTTTCTCGTTTTTGAGTAGGAGGATCACATAATATTTATCTGATGGAGTTAATATTAAGGTTATTTGACACATTGATTATATGCAATCGATGCGGAGGAGGTGGAAGATAGTGAATGTATTGTTTTGCGATAGGAAGTCATATTTTATGTACTAACTAGACGATGTAGAGGAAAGAACAAAAAGAAAAATAAAAGTAACCGAATAATACCAGTGACGTGAATGATTATCATTACATTCGACGGTATTTATTAGTAACATGGAAGATAAATATGAGAAAAGAAAGAAAAGCCTCTCTTTCTATTTTGATATATCAGCCTAAACTACTTTTTTCTCGTGCGCACTATTTTCTGTTCTGTGTGATCAACGATATACAGGATGTCCCAGAAATAATGTACCAAAAATTTTTTCATATATCTTTGCTATTTCATTTAACTTTATCAACAATTTTTTTTTTAAATTATAGGTGAATATACCGAGTTTTTATTTATCCGAACGATCTTTCATATTATTGTGTAAAACTATTACCTTGGATCGAGATACAAAAATTTTACTTTCTTTATATTTCAAGAAAAACATTATGTAGCGTTTTTTTTTCGTTAATTATTTCGACTTCCTGCAGTTGTTTTCTGTAAATTTTACTTCAAAGAAAAGATTTAAAAATTTTTCAATCTACATATTCTTGTAGAACTCGACAAGCTCTATCTAACCACATGAAAATATCAAAGAAAAAACCTTAATCGATTGTTGAATTACTCGCATCTTACAAAGAAAGCAGAATTTTTGTATCTCGATCCAAGGTAATAGTTTTACACAATAATATGGAAGATCGTTCGGATAAATAAAAACTCGGTATATTCACCTATAATTTAAAAAAAAATTTGTTGATAAAGTTAAATGAAATAACAAAGATATACGAAAAAACTTTTGGTACGTTATTTCTGTGACACTCTGTAGATGAAACTACATGTAGAATCGAAACAATTCATATATTGTTAATGTTTTGTATTTTTTCTTCATCGGACAAGATTATTGTCGCGATAATTTGTTTATTTTATATGAACAGAATTATGTCAACATTCGAATAATGTCTCTCTTTGATTTGGCAAGTACTTGTTGAAATATAAGTATTTATCTAGAGATGAACGATTCATTCTGTTTGTTACAGGGGTATTTCATGGTATCTCTCCAGCAAAATACACAAGTATCTCCAAATTCAACGAAACTTTCAGGATTTGTAGATCATAGTGAGATATGAAAAACGTACG